GCAGTTTCAAACACAAAGCTCCCTGTTCTACAACACAGAAAGAACCTTTTGCTTTCCTGGCTCTGCCTTGCTCCCCTAACAGGAACATGCAACCACAACACCAAGGTAAGCTGAGGGACAAAATCTCCTTACAATATCTCCTCTCAGTTTTCCCCATAAGTGACTTCAGGAAAACAGTGACTTCTCAGAGCCTCAGTTTCTCTATATAATTGGATTTGAACAGATTAAAGAATGATTAGTCTCATTCTTAGTTTACAGTGACTGCCACCTGGAGTTCCAGGTTGTGGAGACCCCGGGAGTGGCTAGTAAATCTGCTCTGAGGTACAGAATGACACCAGACATTTTCCACCTAGGGCCAAATGAACACCACCAAAACCTCTGTGTATCAACACACTTTCCAAATAGAACATCCTTGTGGTGGTCACTGAAGACATCATTGTGACAGTACCAGGAAGATGCACACATACCGCCACTCAGTCACAAACAAGGCCAGCAGCAATCCTGGGCCATCAACACAGATCTCTTTGGCCCCTACCTGTGTGTTGACAAATAGCTTCTTTCATACTCCAAAAAGTTCTCCTCAGACACTTCACATCCTCCTGTCTACCACAGAAAGAGCAATGCTGCCCAGGGCTGCTGTTCTCACCCCTGAAAACTCGTGCTCAAGCTCAAAGCTTCCCAATACTACCAGGTAACCACGTAATAGAGAGTGGAAGGCCCAAGTGGGGCTCCTTCCTTCAACCACTACACTTTGCCCAGGAAGGGTGTGGGTCTCCTACAACTATACCTGGGACAGGCCTCCAGGAGCTTGGTGAATCTGGATCCTGGTGGTTTTGTTCTGTTTGTAGAAGTCAAATATCATCAGAGCTGCATAGACTTTCCCCACTGTCATCTCATCAGCTGAAGAGAACAGACAAAGACAGGACCCAGAGATAAAGGTTTGGAGGACAGAGAATACAGAGAAACCACGTAAGTTATTGTTGGTTTGAGGTGAGGAGGCATTGCCCCTCCCTCATCCCACTATGTGCACTCCAGGAAATGCCTTAGGTTGAGTGTCTCTCAGGATAAGGGATCAGCAGCAGGAGCTACTCTCGTGGCTCCTCTGGGCACAACACATGTTGCACTCTGAGCAACTCTAATTAGTCTTATATTCCCTGTGTCAGGCTGATGCATCCCTACATGCATCCCCTCAAAGTTAAACACCTCAGAGCTGAAGAGATGGCTCAGAGGCTCAGAGCACTGACTGCTCTTACAGAGGACCCGGGTTCAATTCCCAGGACCCACATGGTAGCTAACAACCATCCGTGACTCCAGCTCCAGGGATATGACACCCTCTTCTGACCTCCGTGGGCACTGCATGACACAGGTGCACTTACACACATGCAGGCAATACACTCATACATATAAAACAAAAATAATATTTTTTTGAAGTTAAGCACCACCTCTTTGTGTCCCTACTAGGATGTGCTCTTGCATTTCTTTGGATGTTATGAAATATGTTCTCAAAGTAGAAGGACCCCAAATCACCACCCATGGTTCCCACGCAGCCCAGCATGCCTACAGAGGATAAAGGGAAGACTACCTCTCTGAGACAATGCACCTCCCCAGCGACACCCCCACATGCCTTGTGGTAACAGGTGGGGGCAGAGGGTACCTTTCATGCTCCACTTACGCTTGTGGGGTGGTACCAGTAAGTCCAGGGTCTTCTGGGGCAGATTAGCCCACACAGAGGAGATCTCCTTCCTCAGCTCTGCATCACACTGGTGTTGCTTGGTCCCGGCTGGACCAGCATAAGGAGGAAAGGGAAGACAGGTGTCAGAAGCAGCCCCACAGGCCCCTCTTTCATGCACAACTGGGGAGAGTTTGGGGGAAGCACACGTGGAGGGAAGATAATATGGAAACAGTGCTAGGAGGAAGATGCATCATAAAGACACACTGACATGCAGGCTAGTTAAGAGTTCTCTCTGCAGAGCAGGCCTGGAGATGGTACAACTGCTATGTGTGTGCATGTACACATGTGTGCACATAAACATGTGCATGTTTGTGCACTGTATGAATGTGCGCCACATGTGGCAGGAGAGCAGCAAAGGGAACTGGGAAGGGACACACTGGTAATGCTGTCGTTCATTCACTCTCACTCAACAGTAGTTTCTGAACAGTCATTAGATGTCAGGTACTCTTTTAAGTGATTAGACAAAGAAACCTCCAAAACAACCTTTCTGCAGTTTGCACCACTATTCTACAGTGTAATAGCAGAAAGTAAAAATAAACCCAGTATGTTAGAAAATGAAAAGTGCCAAGGACAGGGAAAGCAAAGTAAGGGAGAGGGCAAGAAGTCCCAAAGTGGTCAAGAAGATTCTGACAAGATCCTGCATGTAAGAAGACCTGCGGACACAAAGAAACCAGGAAGT